AGGGAAAAGTGATGCGGGCGATGCTGCGCGCGGAGGAAAGGGCGACGGTGGCCAGCGGGATAGTGGCAGGGGGGGGGGGGGGGGGGCAGGGGGGCGAGACCTCGGTATATGATATATAAATGCTCCTTGGCGTGAAAGGAGTGGAAATGAGGTGCACAGAAATAACGAGAGAAGGACCTTCTTGCTTCCTTTCTTTTTCTCCGACTCGCTCATTCTTTTTTCTTCTTTTACATAAATTTCGCTCGAGGACGCACGCGCCGCCACCCAGCTGAAATACGCGTGCCGAGGCTGAGATGGGATGGAGCTTTGGCGATCGCTGCGAAAGAGGTCGTGCTTTTTTTGTCTTTTTTCGGGCAAGTGAGCGGACTTTTCGAGTTCAGCATTGATTTGGAGAACCGATTGATTTTCCCAGAAAAGTTGCTCTTCAGCCAGATTTTTTCCTTTTCTCGTGAAAGCTGTATAAATAAATGCCGAATCTCCTGCACATTACCGGCACACAGGGACAATGTTGTTTTGAAATGACATTGCGGCTGATTAAATGACGTAGATAGAGCCAAGGGAGAGATTTTATTAAATTTTTAGGTATTTCCAGCAGCGACTAACGGATAACGTTTAAATTGCTCTCACGATTGTCTCGTTATAACGACGGACTACTATTAGATTATCGTAAATAATAATTTTGCTAATCCAACATATTCATTATGATACATGTGTATATACGTGCATGCACGCGAGCGCACACGCACGCACAAAACTGCGGTATGGACGGTTAAAAACTTTGTCGATTGCAGAATGAAATGTAATTTTATGTGTATGTATGCGCGCGCAGCCAATAAAAACATAATTTTTTTTTCTTTCTTTAAGCTTATTAATGTGCGCATGAGTTATATGATTGAAAAAATATGGATGTTGAGTAAATAAGGTATTTATTGATCGACGATCGTAACGACTAAAGCTTTTCCTTTTGTTCTAGGTGCCAAGTTAAAGAGAGAACGTGCAGAACAGGATGATCTCTTTTGTGAGGAAAAAATGCTTATTATCGATGGTACGTACGTTCGATCTTCATTATTTTTCGAAAGAAAATATGCTTCTTAATCCTCGTTTAAATATTAATGATGTTGTTATGATACTTATGCATTTAAATACAAAAAATTGTTCACGACAATAGGAAGAGGGGAAATTTGCATATTCAAGGTGAAATATATATAACGAAGCGCCCAATATGAATTTACTTTCTCATTGAATTCGTGCCTATACTTCACAATACGTCATATTTATTTGAAACTAATTATAAAGTCATATTCATTAATTGCGCATATAAATAGACTAAAAGGTAAAGTTCCAATTAAAATTACGGTCAGATTACATTTGCGGGAATTATGTGCAAAGAATTATTAAATAGTGGAGATAGATAATAATACTTATATTATGAGGATAGCTTATCCCCCGAAAATTATCAAAGCTGAACATCGATTTTACATTAAAAAAAATTCCATGGCACTTTTATGGTTTATGCCTTCTCTTTATTACTCGGACTCATTCTTTTTCGATAAAGTCAGAAAAAAGTACACATGCATTTACTTTATTAAAGAAAACTGTAAAAGACGGATGGGGGCATATATACGTATGTGGTGCAATCCCTTCCCGTCGACCCCTGTTATGTGCTCCACATTGCCGGATTTTATTTTTACATTTTCGCGCAACAGCAGAAGCGGGCGAAAAAAAGGCGCAAAGACCCTGTTCTTGCGTAATGTTAAAGAAACGGCGAGGACGGGAGGGAGGGAGAGAGAGTGCGTGCGTGCGTGCGTGCGTGCGTGCGTGCGTGCGTGCGTGCGTGCGTGAGCGGTAAAGGGGATCAAGAAGGGGAAAAAGTCTAAGCCGATCGGACTGTGATTTCATTGGAGCGACGTTATTTTTACGCGGACGTCTTAAAGCAACTTTGGCTGTGATCACTCTTGCACTCCTCGTCGTTCCGTTTTTCACTTTACAAATAATAAACACCGTGCCAATCGGTCGAAGAAACATTCTTATTTTCTTACGCGCAATGCCTTTTTCTTCCTCCATCTTCTCCTTCTCCTCATCCCCATTCTCCTACTGGCGTTCGTTCATGAACAATCATCATCGCTCGACTTTCGGTATTAACTTTCGTCTGGTCGCACGTTTGGCCTCGTTTTACTCTTTATATCGAACGTTTATTTGACGTTATTACAGTGAGGAAAGAATTTTTTAATGTCCATCAAATTCATTAGTTCTAAGGCATCGATGCAGTAGGATAGATGATTACATTTAATTGCGGCATATATGTGTGCATTTAGAAACCGTTTAACCTGTTCTTATTGTTTATCATTTTTTCAATTCCTTCAAATTAAATATCTATGTTATTTTAAATTTAAATTCATATAAATATCATTGTCAACGAGTTTATTCGCCTTATAAAATAAAATCAATATTGTTGATCTATTGTAATAAAACGATTTTACATTAAAATCTATCGAAACACTTTTTTCTCTCTTTTTTTTTCATCAGTTCTCTTATTGATATTTATATTGAAAGTTAGCAAAAGAATATATCGATAAAAAAAATTAGCACCTTGTGTAATATGCTTTCATTGGAAACAATAATTAAATCACAAAATTTTTTTTAGATATTTTATTTTCATTCAATATTGCAATATGTTTCTTTTATCTCCAAAATATAAGTTTACTTAATATGATTAACACATGATATTTCACAGGTTCTTCAGCTTCCTAAACTTTTGACACTTTAAAAATTCCAGCCGTCGGTACAATATTTTATAATAAACTTATTATTAATTAATTAAATGAATTAATTAATGACAAATCGTTCTAAAATAGTTTTATTTAATAATATTATTAAAATAACATAATATATCCTTAAGTTAGTCGAATAATCACATTTTTACAGTTGCAGGGCATTTTATCATATACTCAATTCATATGTAATATTGTACTTGCACAAGATACAGCACTTGAAAAACGTTCTTCTAGGTATATTAAATTAGATAAAAAAAAAAATAAATAAATAATAATAATAAAAAATATAAAATCAATGAGATATCGAACAAATGTACATATTAAACACTTATGAAGGCGCTCATTACAATTTTTGTAAATTTTACTATCTATTATACATTCTTATATTATAAAATTTTGTTTAAAATTTCAAGCAACTCGAGTTAAAAGTTTTATTTAAATAAAAATAAAAATAATAAAATAATATCACGTAATGTTATATTGAATGTTCTTAGTCAAATTTGGATGATTTAAGGCAATGTGCGACGATAAAGCAAATTCTACACGGATGTTGATTCTTGTAAATGAGCATTTGTGCGATTATATAGAAACTTTTTGCGATAGAAACATACAAAATTATTGAGTTTATTAAGGTCTTTTGACAAGTGTGTAATGAAAAACGAAAAGCAAAACGATGGGAATTACGAGTTTCGAAAAATTTTAATTAATCGATTGAATATTTGAATAAATAAGCATGGCTCATTGTCATGAGTTTCACAGAACATTAATAATCGTTATTAGTTTTCTCTAGTTTTTCCCCCTCTTTTTATTCTCTATTTATTCTACTGTTTAACGCGGAAATTCTGGTTTTTTGTTTTGTTTTTTTTTTATGGTAAAAAAGGAACACGGACTTTTAAAAGCGTGAATTAATTGTAATTGTAGATAATGAGATTGTCGATGCACCATTATTTTATACAATTTCTTAACTTTTCTGTTGACTGCAAATAATAACAGCATATAAATATTATTTGGCAGGATAGACGAAGGTTCGTGTGTAAATTTATTTGAATGCGGTGTTGGCATTCTATGTGTATGTACATTGTAAAACGTTATTATATTAAGTCTAATCTGGCACGCTATAGTAGCCATTTAATCTATAGATCGATAAATATTTATATAATTAATTATTAAAAGTGTGATTTAAAAAAAATTTTTCCTTTTTTCTTTTTATTGTACATACAACATTGCACCCGTCTGTCAAAAATCGTATAAATGTTATATTTTGGAAATTAAGTATTTTTCCAAGCAGGAGTATTTATTAATATATGTGAACAGTAGAGGGGACGAAGTCTCGTTGGGTATGTACGTACGTACGTTGACACAAATTGTGGAATAGGGATGTTTCAGAGAAATCTGAAATACATTGAAAGTTGTGGGTAGACTAGATACCGCTCGAGTACCGAAAGGATTTTCCAAGCTTAAAAGACAAGGAGTTATAAATAAAAGAAATATAAAAGCGTAAATGCAAGAAAGTAGATGCAAGAGAGTCGGCGAAGGAAGAGG